AACTAGTGCAACTCTGTGAAAGTAGTGTGGCGATTCCTAAAAGCTCTAAAAATTGACCTTCCATATCACCCTGCAATCCCCCTACTGGGAATATACCCTGAAGAACAAACCACTCTATAAAAAAGATACCTGCACACACATGTTTATCGCAGCATTGTTCACAATAGCAAGAACCTGGAAACAACCATGCTGCCCATCAAAAGAGGACTGGATTAAAAAAATGTGGTACATATACACGATGGAATACTATGCAGCCATAAAAAAGAACAAAATCATGAATTTCGCTGCAACCTGGATGGAACTAGAGTCTATAATACTGAGTGACCTCTCACAATAACAAAGATCCGAATATCACATGTTCTCACTCATATAATGGACCTTGAACATCCAATGCAATACTATAAGAAAATGACTGATGGTACTAGGAAACTATGGGGGGGAGGGGGATGGGATTAACAGTAGCAAATATCTGTCGGGGGATGGGAAAACACCTCTTATCAACAGGGTGCCTGAATGAAATGTAATTGTACACCTAACCCTTAACTGTACCCCACAAAACCATAATAAAAAATACTGATTAATGAAAAAAAAAAAAAGAAACACAGTGTATGAGTATTTATCAAAGAAGAGCACCTAGTTTCTCTGTGCCCTCCAAGGCATTCACATTTTACACTTCAAAAACCTAATCTCTATCTTCAAGGAAAGTGCCGCATAAGAAGCAAATTTAATGTGGTGTATGTCAATTAAGCATGTCTGGCGCAAGAGGAGAGGAGTTCTAAAAAGAATAAAAGAGAAGCCGGGCTCCGTGGCTCAGCCTGTAATCCCACACTTTGAGAGGCTGAGGTGAGTGAATTGCCTGAGCCCACAGGTTCGAGACCCGCCTGGGCAACTTGGCGAGACCTCATCTCTACAATAAATCAAAAAATCAGTCGGGTATGGTAGCACATGCCTGTAATTCCAGCTATTCGGAAGGCTGAGGCGGAAGGATCACCAAAGCCCAGCACGTCGAGGCTGCGGTGGCCGGGAGCGGCCACTACACTCCAGTCTGGGTGACAGAGTGAGACTCCAACTCAAAAAAAAAAGAATAAAAGAATGTCTGTATTTTAAGAATACAAATTAATGTTAAAAATTAATCTTCCTGAATTGAAGAAGGTGTGGCCTCTTAATATATAATTAGAGTTATGGATACTAAGCTGTATGGGTACTCAGTTATAGGTATCTTAACTTTAATTAATATATTTTACTTTTTACTAAATAATTAAACATTTATTAATTAAAAATAGTTAAAATAAAAAAGCCAACCAAATCTTTCACTAAATGTCTAAAGCTATGACATCTGTATTCAATACAACATCCCTCCCATACAAAGACTGACACAGATGATGACAGATACCTTTTGTGTGTGTGTTGAGGGCTGGTGGGGTGACAGCTAAAAAGAATGGCACGTTGTTATTGGCTTTCCAAACTGAACACACAATGGGTCATGTTTATAGAATTAGTCACATATGTTAGATACTGATGGCTGCAAAAGGATTTCTAAAATCCTAGAATTTTACTCACTGGGATTTAGTTTCTTATCAGCCCTGGAGATTTGGCATTATAGAGAGGTAAAGTAGTCTCTCATTTGACACAAGCAAGATGGATCAACAAAAGCCTTAGAGATAAATTTTTAAAGGACCAAGCCTTCAAAGAGATGCCAGCTTGGTCTACAACAAGTATTTACAACACATTTTAGATCTTTACTTTGATAAACACATACTGAATACCATACCCTATAAACACCCTGCAAATGCAGTGTTAGGTTTCCACTGCAGAAGCTGACAGCAGATGCTCCAAAGATCACCTTACCTGAGAGGGCATCCTGTGCTTCAAAGAATGTGCTAAGACCCCCTTTCACATAAGCCAGACTGCCCTCGCTCTTCTTGTTAGCCTGTCTCTTGAGATTGGTGACTGCCATTTTGAGCTGTTCAAAACTGAAATGAATAAAGAAACCAAACATTTGAGATGCCTAACATACATACAAATAAGATAATTCATTAAGTGTAAAACACTAGGAATGCCAAAACTGATGCTAAGAAGCATACAGATTAATATGAAACCAGATGAAAGCAAAAAGCTTTCACATTCTTATCTAGATCTAAACCTTTTACTTGTTTTAAATGCTTAAATTACAACAGCTATAAAGAGTTTTATAGCCCTCAATGATAATTCCAAATATGTTAGGCCTCCTAAAAAGTAAATCTGTGTAGATATTTTTATAACCTATATAATGTATACAATTTACCAGATAAAGAGTTTTGAACATGCTCTAAGTAATAAAAGAGTATGTTTTTGTTTTGTTTTGTTTTGTTTTTTTGAGTTGGAGTCTCACTCTGTCACCCAGACCAGAGTGCAGCGGCCGCTCCCGGCCACCACAGCCTCGACCTGCTGGGCTCCGGCAATCCTTCCACCTTAGCCTTCCAAGTAGCCGGAATTACAGGCATGCGCTACCATGCCCAGCTGATTTTTTGATTTATTGTAGAGATGAGGTCTCACTGCCCAGGTGGGTCTCGAACCCGTGGGCTCAGGCAATGCACTCATCTCAGCCTCCCAAAGGCGGGTGATTACAGGCTGAGCCCTGAGCCTGGCTTATCCTCCAGTGAGGGGCAATGTTTCAAAAGTAGACTCTTCTGTACATTTATTTATGTATTTGGGACATTGAGTATAGTGTTATTTTCATCACATCAATACCCATTAATAATAAAATCACATAACACCTATGGGTCAATTCAAATTTTAAATAACTAAGAGCACCACAATATTTTCTCTTTCTATCTCAAGCAGAAAAACAAAAAAGGAAGGTCTCTATATTTTGGAAGTTTTATCTCCATTTGAGCTAACAAAATCTGGCTATAAAACTTTGAATATATTCTTGAGTACCATAATGGCCCCACTCAGAAAACAGATCAATTCTGACTTACAATAATAGAAAAATCACACCCATAATGTAAATATGAGCCATCTTCTACAATGAAAGAATTAATTTCAGACAGTTGCTTTAAATATTATCAGGCCAAATTTACTCAATATATTAAAATACCAATGTTTCCTCAAGTTTCTAGTGATTTTCATCCTAATGAATGAATGACAAACATATTAAGGTACATTTTAACAAGTTGATTTATCAAGAATTTAAATTTTAAGCAATTAACCACTCATTTATCCAAACATTTTACACTGAATATAATTGTTTTAAATCAATCTTGCAAGTAAGTTACAAATCTGATTTTGTAGAGAATAGATATAATGTAATTAGCAGACAAAAAGTAATACTTTAACTTCGATATATGAACTTGTCTATTTTTGGCTAATTTTAAGCCACATCTTGTACATAATGATAAGCTAACTCATCTTCCTATGCTGTATGGTCAGAGAAGGCAGTGTGTTCTGTTTTTATACCAAAACTTACATTTTTTTTGTGCTATTTGAGTAAAAAGAGATCGCATGCACACATACCAATTTAGGTCCCCAGCTGATTCCATAAAGTTGTAATAAGCCACTCAAATAATGAAACATGCAGGGACATAAAATGATAGTAGGAAATAAGAGAACTCTAAATTAATTTCATTTTACAAATACGGAAACAGATACCCTGAGATGTTCGCAGATTCACCCAAAGTCAAAAGGCTCATAACCTAAGATGATGTTACTATACACAGAGACAGACCTAAAACTCATGCAATCCCATTATTAGTATCCAAGTGAAACCTTTTACAGCTGACAGTCAATATCCACTAACCTGGTGGTTGAGTGGTTCTCTATGAGATACCAAGCAGCTGAAAAATTCTCACTTGTAAAATCAGCACTCATTCCACGGAACAGCATTTCTAAATCTTTTTGGGAAAATTTACTTCTAAAGGAAAAAAAAAAGTTTAAAATATATTTCAACTGTTATTACTATAAAAATGTAACAGATATCACTAAGTACCTAGCATAATAAACATGAATACAAACCATTAAAATTATACATAATACATGATCAAGAATACATCTGTATGTATGTACACAAGATATATATTTCCTACATCGTGGTTGATTTCTATCACGTAAACTTGGTACATATATAAGTTAGGAAATTAGTTAAAATACAGAAATTACATCAATAAAAGAATATAAGATTTAAAGAGATCTTAAAACATCAGGTTAAACAGATTTTTTAATGTGAAATCTATCAAAATATGAAATCATTTCCCACTTGGTGGATAAAATAAAAATTTAAATACAGTGAAATTTTAAAACATTACATCACTTTGTTAAAATGGTTTTTGTTTAAATATCTATATGAAAGTTGTTTTAAGACATACTACTATCTAAGAAACCATCAGAATACTAATAAAAGTAGATCTGCCTGTAATTCCGGCTACTCGGAAGGCTGAGGCGGAAGGATCGCCGGAGCCCAGCTGGAGAGGCTGTGATGGCAGGGAGCGGCCACTGCACTCCAGTCTGGGCGACCAAGTGAGACTTCAACTCAAAAAAAAAAAGTAGATCTAACTACACAGCACTCATATTTGCATGTTCATTGCTAGAATAACTTTATGAAAAGCTTGTGATAACAATAGGCTATGCATTACCACAGCTCCCTTATCTTGCCTACATAATTTTTTTACTATATATATTTTATTTTAAAGATATGGGATACAATTCAGGATTAAGTATACAAGTGGACATCGTACAGGTAAAGTCTGAACCTTCTTTTGATCCCCACTTTGCCTAGTTTGAGATGAAGTACCTTTATTGATGTTATGTGCCCTCCCCCCTACCCCAGCAGTATCCCATTACTGCCAATTCCTTTCTTATAGTATTACAGTAAATGTTCAGGGTCCTCTTATGAGTGAGAACGTGTGGTTCTTTGTTTCTGTGGTAGATCACTGACTATTATAGACTCTACATCCATCCAAGTTGCCTACATTATTAAGCTGGACTTCCAGGCCAGGCACAGTCACTAACACCTGTAATGCTAGCACTCTGGGAGGCTGAGGTGGGAGAATTGCTTGAGCCCAGGAGTTCAAGACCAGCCTAAGAAACATAGTGAAACCTCAACTCTACAAAAAAAATCAAAATGTTAGCTGAGTTTGGTGGTGCCTGTAGGTCTTAATTACTCTGGAGGCTGAGGTTGGAGGATCACCTGAGTCCAGGAGTTGGAGTCTGCAGTGAGCCAGGATCATACAACTGCACACCAGCCTGAGCAACCAAGTGAGATCCTGATTCAAAAAAAAAAAAAAAAAAAAAAAAGATGGGCTTCTGAATCAATTCATTCAAATACTACCTACAGGTGAGGCTCCATGCTTGGGGACACCAGGCGTGCCAGAGGGCAGAAATGCCACTGCAGACCCTGCTGCCTAGGGCTCACAACCTTGCAGCACTGGCTGTTGGCCCCCGCCACTCCATTTGATGGGTGAAGGCCAAGATTGCCCATGAGCTGAAACTGCTTATCTCTCAGGGCGCACTCCTGTCATCCTAGGCCTCAAACCTGACACTCTTGCCTCTATACATATTCTCTCCCTTTATTGCTCCCTAAAAACCATAAGGGATGCAGGAAGCAAAACCAGCTGTCCAGAATGTCCTTTGTAAATCCCACACTGTGAGACACCACTTTACTCTAGCAACACATGTCAGTCCAGAGAGTGAAAGCACCCCACTTTGCATCCTGTCACACCCATCTTCTTCACAAGGGGGCTTTCTTATTGGGGCAGGGGCTTTCTTATTAGGGCCGCAAGAATTGTTATCATAATTCCTGACAACAGAGAAGATGATCCACTTAGCAACTGAGGCTGAATCACACTTTTATCTTTTCTCACTAGCTTCTAAAGTTGAAAGATCTCAGGCCTGATGTTCTCAATGTGTGAGTGTGGCATTCATTAGCAAGCTGCTGTTCTCACCAGTCAGCAGTCTCTGAGAGGAAGGTGGAGAACTCTGACTTGTTCAAGTTTATTTTGGTTTAAATTCTTCATGCTGGTTCTAATACTTTACATAGTAAGAAAATCCTGTCACCAAGTTTTTCTCACTTTATTTTCTTGTACACCATGCCACTAAGTTAGAACCTCTGGGAAATATAATGTCTGAGTGGAGACTGAGGGTAAGCCATGACAAACTGAGCCCCAGCTAAGGTCCCCAGAAACACCTTCTTCTGATATGCCATGGGCTTCCTTCTGCAAGCCTACTTTAACTGATGGGCAGCATCTGTCTAGACTGTTGTGTGAAGGACCATGTGGCTTTGTCTAAACTTGGCTATGACAGGATAGTTGGCCTGTCATGGTATGTGGGAGAAGTACATGGCAGCATACAGACCATGTCTCCTAGCACGAGTATTCCATGTAGCACTTCACACTGCATTTGCTCCAAGCATTACATGGTCTTAACAGAACCGAAAAGTATTACAGTCAACCACTATCGATTAAATTGCCACTAATAACAGTCTTTACAACTTATTCAAGGACAAGAACTCCTTATCCAAATCACAAAATAAGGACACAGCTGATAAAAAAAAAAAGGAAAAGAGGATTCTGAGATGTCAAACTGGGCTTCTGTGCCCCTCACTCATGTCCTGTGGAGCTTTATTGCAGTTGGATGTTTTCTTGTCTATAATCCAAGCAGAGAGTAAAGAGGGGCTGCCAGCATTAACTGACAACATCAAAAAGGGATCTATGACATGGTAACAAGTCAAGCAAGACAGACACAAAATTCAAAAATACAGTAACTGCCCGTCATGATGAAATGGTTAAGACTGCACAGTTTCTGTAGGCCAGACAGGTAAATCATGTTCCACGTATATATGTGTGTGTGTATATATATATATATATATATATGTATATATGATGTACATGGCAGATATTTAAAAAAAAAAAAAAAAGGTTATATCCTAACAGTTAAAATGTTTAAATTGGTGGTACTAAAAGATGTAAACTGGCAGCTATACAGAACTTTCCATTCTGTATTCAATTTTTAAAATTCACCTGTTTCTCAAACTGTAGTAAACATCTCATTTACAATGCACTAATGTTATAACTGATCTCAGTTGTACCCAAATCTGATGTCTAAGTGAGGGCTTCAGGAATGTTAAGAACTTTGCTAGCCCAGAGGAGTTCTTCCTACTCCTACCCCCCCATCCACAGAGAGAGAGAAGGATGGGCCTGACCAGTCATCAAAAGCAGGGTACCGGCAAGAAAGAAAAGCCCATAGGTGTGGCTAGGCCTCCACAGGCTCAGCACCCTCATCTAACCCATGAGCACATTATGCCCCTGGCAGGACAGGGTAGGAAGAAGAGCGGTGGACTCTGAACCTGAGCTGTGGCATTAGAGTGACAGGTAAGGAGGCACATGCTCCAGCAGAAAGTTTTGTGCTGAGGTCTGAAACATCCACCCCCCTGCCATATCCCTTTCTCACATACATATTGTTCCTCAGGCCCATAAATGGATCAGGTAAAATATTAGAAATACTGGATTCTCCTGACCAAAATACCATCTCCTAGTCCCTAGACCCTCAAAGTCACCATAATATTGTGTTTAGTATTCAGTGATTTCCTACTGAAGATACTAAAACTCTTTCACCAGTCAACTTATTGAAAGAAAAGTACTGAGACATACACCAGGAGTCACTATTTTTTTTTTGAGTTGAAGTCTCACTGTGTTGCCAGGCTGGAATGCAGTGGCATGCTCACAGAGACTGTAGCCTCAACCTGCTGGCTTAGGCGATCCTTCCGCCTCAGCCTTCCAAATAGCTGGAACTACGGCAGGCGCCACTATGCCTGGCTAATTTTTTAATTTATATTGTTGAGACGGGGTCTCACCACGTTGCCCAGGCTGGTCTCAAACACCTGGGCTTAGGCAATCCTCTCACCTCGCCCTCCCAAAGTGCTGGGATTATAGACTTGAGCCACCACATCCCGCCAGGAATCACTTTTAAGAATAAGACAGATACTATTTCAAGATGGCAAAATTCTAATAGAGAGATGTCAAATAATTTCTCCAAATCATACACTTAAGTCCAAGACTAACCTTTCATAGAAACACAGAGCCCACTTTTAGCAGGGCTGACAATTCTTCTGAGTCCTCTCTGCTAGAAAAATCTCACAATTCCCAGACCAGCACTTGCCCTTCACTAAGGAGGGGCTGGCCATCATAAGCCAGCCACATCTGTCACATTCTCCATGTTCTTGATTGAGTGACCCTGTTTTGACCAGAGATATCTGAACAAAGACCTTCTGGAACATTTCTGATAGAAGTCTCCACACTTGTAAGAAGAAGCACCATAAGAGCTAACATCTTTCTGCCTGGGAACACAATTGTGCCTAGTCTCAACACCAGGAATTGATAAAGCAATCAGGTGGAAATCAATTTTTATGCTAATGGCAGCAGAACAGCAAGTCCAGGCTCCTCACATCTTGGCGATATTACCAAGTCACTGAATCAACCAACCTTAGAGTCTACCTTCTCTGCATATTTTATATTATGAGAAAATTAATGTCTTTTTTGTTTAAGACAAATAAACTTTCATCTTCTGTGACTTGTCACTGAAAACATCCTGATTCAACATTTTATCCCAAAAGATATGCTTAAATATAATGATCTTGTATAAAAACACCTCAAAAATGTGAGATAAATGATCTGGAAAAAACAAAAATCGAGTAACAATGCCAAGAGTCAAGGAAGAACATGACTGCTAATGTACAAGTGACTCGACTCATCTCAGCACCTCCAGTGGAGGCAGCAGTAACAAGTGGTGGGCAAGAGCACAAGCCCCGGGTACAGTCTTGAAGTTTGCTTAATCTGTATAATCTTGGGGGAATTATTTGACAGAACCTCTGTAAGAGTTCATTATTCCTGAGGACAATGAATTCATAACATCTTCCTCTTA